GACAGTCATATGATCCGTATTGTAGGGGTTAGGAATCAAGTATGATGTATCATCCTTAAACCCATTCTTTTCCAGACGGTAATGACACATATCCGAGGGTGCCAGAAGTTGAGCTTGGAGCTTCAGGGATGGCACCATTACAGCGACTATGTTGGGGTCCGAAACACCATACAGGAGGTCAACACGAGGATTACAAACTTGTAGGTGTTATTTGAATACATATCATGTTTTTGATTGATAGATTAATTGTTTATTTGATTGAGATTGACTTACTGATTGGTCGATTCATTGAGTGTTTTTTGAAGGATTGATTGATTGATCGTTATTTATTGATTGTTTGATAGTTATTGATATTGTGTGTAACTAGCGAAGTGGAGGTAATTCTAAAACTTGTCTAAGATGTCTTTGTATTTTTTCCTTGGGATGATGTAAATGACTTCTCAGTCTCAATGTCAATCTCAAAAGTAATGCGCAGGGCGCTGATGAGTGCATAACACGCATATTAGTGGTTGGTTGCTGGGGGAAAAGGGAAAGGATTAAGGTACAAGTGGAGGTGTCAGTGTTTGAGAAGGTGATTGTAGTGCTAAGTTTGCTTAGTTTGTTAGTCAAAGTATTGAGTGTTTTTGTTTCAATGATGTGTTCCAGTGGCCTATTGTATGTAGGAAGGAGGAGTGCTTGTAAGAGTCAGTACTGGTGTGTGAGTTCCTTGTATTGCGTGAGTGTGCTGCTTGTAAGTATTTGTGTTTGTTGATGTCTATAAGGTTGTTTGTGATTTTGTACATGATTGTAAGTCAGTGTGCTTGTCTTCATGTCTCGAGCAGGTCCATATTAATCTGTTTTTTTATGTGAAATGTAATACCAGGTGTACATGTGTAATTGTGTGTAATAAACCTGGCAGCCCTAGTATTGACCTGCTCAAGCTTCTCAATGTTGTGCTTAGTGTATGGGTCCATACAGCAGTACAGTATGCTAGTGTTTAAGGAGAATATTTGGTAATGATTAAGAAATAGAATGTAGATATATTACTGCATACTGAATAAACATTTATCTGGTTATGTACAGGTCTGCCAGCCATGAATAATCTTTATCATCAAATTGTATAAATGCTTCAGTTATGTATAATGTTATAATTGACGTGATTATTATTTGCTGAAAAAGTAGTTGAAGTTGGTTCTTTATCCAAGTCTAGACATGCAACACATCAGTAAATGGGACATACTCTAGGCTACAGGATGATGAGATAAGGTGGCCATCCCTTCCCCCTCCCCCTCCCCATACCCCAGTTTTTGAACCTTTATGGTGCCAGTTCTTGCATTTGAATCATCTAGGAGGTGCAGAATGGGCGTGAATACCCGGCTCTTTGTTACTTGTCTATGTTGCCTCTGCCTTTTTTTTTATACTAGTCTGATTATGGGTTTCTTTAACTTTTATTTATTCTTACTTTATTTTATGTACATGGAAAAGTCATTTTTTGTGTACTAACAGAAAAAAGGGACTGGGAAAAGATGAATTGCAAATAATCTCTATACATGTTTTATTTCTTTTACAAAAGCAAAAATAGAGTTTTAAAGTTTTACAGACACAAGATCATAATGAACTCTTAAATTCTTAATTTCTTACTTATTGTAATATTGTTGTTTCCAGGATTACCAATATCTTCCAACACCAAGACATCAAATTGAAACTGACTCACACAAAATTGTTAGACCAGTTCGACATGGTGAGAGAAGGGAACGACGCCCTGCTCGAAAGAATCGTATGTATTGAGCAAATTTGCAGCTTATTTCCTATTATTGAAGCTCGGTATAACATTTATTTGTTTTTATTGTTGTTTTTATTTACTTTTGTTGATTATTATTTTTGTTTTCTTTTCTTTTTTTAGCTGCATTCATGATATGGAATTCCTATTTGTTTTCTATTTGATACGATTACATTAATTATTGTTTTATTCATACAGCCAAATACCCATATGAAGCCAACAATTCAAATGATAAAAATGTATATTAAGTATATATAAAGCTTATTAAGGATTTAAGGATTATCACTCTGTAACCTACATTTCAGAATTCAGACATTGATGAGGCATCTGGGCTGAAGAAAGACACTGATTTTGAACCATCAGTCAAAGTAGTACAGGTAAGGAACCATGTGAGAGAGTGAGAGAAGCTAGAGTGAAAGAATGAAAAGAATAAGAGAGTGAAAAAAATGGAAAAAATATATGTATACATAAGAAAAGTGGGTAAAAAAAAAAAAAATAATATATATATATATATATTATATATATATTATATATATATATATATTATATATATATATATATATATATATATATATATATATATAATATAAATATATATATATAATATATATATATATATATATATATATATATATATATATATATATATATATATATATAATATTATATATATATATATATATATATATATATATATATATATATATATATATATATATATATATATATATATATATATATATATATATATATTATATATATATATATATATATATATATTATATATATATATATATATATATTATATATATATATATATATATATATATATATATATATATATATATATATATATATATATATATATATATATATATATATATATATATATATATATATATATATATATATATATATATATATATATATATATATATATATATATATATATATATATATATATATATATATATATATATAGCAAATATCAGTGTACAAGATCCCTCTTAACACTCATTTTACCCTTATGCAACAGGCACCGTCGTCGGCCAATACACCCAGCAAGAATGTCGTCCTCATGGCCTCACGGAATGTCCAGAAACCACAGCTGTTCTTCAAGGAAAAAGTGGACAACTCAAAGAAAGAACCCTTTATTCCTATGATCACCGAGAAACCCAATTCCCTCAAGCCGCTGTCGATCCTTATTTGCTTGGACGGAACTCAGGAATAGTGAGCTTAGGACGTGTTATTTTGTAATCATTATTGTTATGGTCATTGTTGTTGTTTATAGTTTATTTGTTTATTTTTAATATTTTAATATATTTTGGGATTAATTGTTGTTATTATTGTGGTTGTGGCTGAGTTGTAGTTTTGGCTTTATTAGTAGTTAAAAAAAAAAAAAAAAAAAAAAAATCCTTTAAACTCACTGGTGTCTCAAGGAGGTTGAGCTTAATTGCTTGTTAGCTTCTCTTGAGTTTTTTCCCATATTCACTGTATTCCTCTTCTTCGTCTTACTGCCATTATTATTGGAATTAGTCATCTTATTGTCGTTATTAATCCAATGACTTTTCTTATTATTTTGCTCTTATCTTATGTTAGATATGATTATTGTTGTATTATTATTGTTATTATTATCATTATAGCTATTAGTATTATTTATTATTTCTGTTATTTCTCTTTCAATCACCAGTTACAGCCACCCATACGAGTACGAGCTAAACCACTGGATGCCCGATCCAGCACAGCTCGAGAAGGTGAAGCCAAGACGCCCCAGACCCCTTGGGCAGACTTCCCTGACCATGGTGACGGAGGTGCAGCAGCTGGAGGCTCTAGTCAAGGAGCTGAAAACCTGCTCTGAGATCGCGGTCGATTTGGAGGTTGGTTGAGCCAGGTTGACCCTTAATTGGATTTTGAAAAGAAAATAATTGTATTGGTATTTTAGCTATAAGCATTATTGTATATTTACATTATTAACTTCAGCTATCTTTTTAAAGAGCTTGAATTCTTTGTGTGTTCTGCAGTTAAAGGAGATAATGTTGCAGTCATTTCATTTTTTTTAAACATTGTTATTTTGCTGTGGAATTGGGTCTTCTTTATGTTTAGGAGAATTTGAAGTTTAGATGGAGAACTTGCATATATGTGTAGGTAAGTAACAATAGGATAAAGGAGTAGTCCTTTTCACAAAGATGTTAAGAGGGAATCTGTTCTGTGGGTTGATTTTTTAAAAACATAATAATAATTTGTGAATGCAGGGTTTTAAATCATTTTTGAATGATTTTTTAGCCAGCATCAGCTGTTTTTCAAGTCATAACTATTAAGAGATTGCCATTGCGTTCCAGCACCACGCCTTCCGGTCATACCAGGGACTCACCTGTCTTATCCAGGTGTCAACGAGGACAAAGGACTACCTCATTGACCCTTTGGCTCTCCGAGGCCAGCTCACCATCCTCAATGAGGTGTTCACCAATCCCAAAATTACTAAGGTAGGATTAGTTTTTTTATATTATTATTATTATTATTATCATTATTATTATTATTATTATTGTTGTTGTTGTTGTTGTTGTTGTTATTGTTGTTATTGTTATTATTATCTTTCTTTCTTTTTTGTGACTTTTTCTTTTCTTTTTTTTCTTTTTTCTTTGTTTTTCTTTACTTTCTCTCTTTCTTTTTTTTTCTTTTTGTATCTCTTCTTTCTTTCTTTGATGTTCCTCTCTGTAATTTGTCCTTTGTCTTCTCAGCCTTTTCTCTTACTTTTTCTTTTTTTTTTTTTTTTTTTTCTTCTTCTTCTTTCCATCATGTTGCTCTCTTTGTCCTTTGGCTTGTCAGTCTGTCATCCCTTACTCTTCTTATGTTTGCTAATTTTTTACCTTTCCTTTCTATTTTTTATCTTTATTTCTTTTCTGTCCTTCTCTTTTCTTCTCTTTTTCTCTTTTTCTTGTCTTTTTCTTTTTCTTTACTTTTTCTCTTTCTTTCTTTTTTTTCTTTTCTTTTCTTTTTCTTTCTTTCTTTTTCTTTTCTTTTTCTCTTTCTTTCTTTCTTTTTCTTTTCTTTTTCTTTTCTTTTCTTTTTCTTTCTTTCTTTTTCTTTTCCTTTTCTTTCTTTCTTTTTCTTTTCTTGTTCTCTTTCTCTTTCTTTCTTTTCTCTTCTTTTTCTCTTTTCTTTTTTTCTTTTCTTTTCTCTTTCTTTCTTTTTCTGTCCTCCATTCTTCTATATCATTATCATCTTGGCTTTCATCTGTTTCCCTTTCAACTCAACTTTTTTTTCTTGCCCCCTTCCCTCCTCTATCTGTCCCTCTACATCTCTCTCTCTCTCTCATAAGCATTTCTCGTACTGTAATGATTAAAGTTTCATGAATATCCTTTCTCAAGAAAAATGACATTCCATATGTAGAATACCCCAATAGATTTCTGCTTGTCCGTGAAACAAATAATCACCATTTCCATTATTTTCCTCCAGTCTTGAGTATTGTCCTGTGCTTCTGTTCTTCCTTCTGATCTTTCTTCTTTCCATATCTGCAGATATATCTCGCTATTCGTCTTTCTTCCTATATAGCAGGGCTGGGCATTTAATTTTTACAAGGGGCCACATGAGAAACCTGAATTGTGTTAGAGGGCCAGACCAACGATAATTTGAACTTAATTCTGCTCAACTTTCGTCCGTTGTAAAATGCACAAAATTATATATTTTGAATAGCTGGTACTGGGAAAACTATTCTGTAAATATTTATATTAGCCTACGTGAAATTGAAATCCTCTCCTCCTCCTCCTCCTCTCTCCTCCTCCTCCTCCTCCTCCTCTCTCCTCCTCCTCCTCCTCCTCCTCCTCCTCCTCCTCCTCCTCCTCCTCCTATTGTTATCACTGTCACCTCTTTATCTTCCTTTTTTCCCATATGACCTCTGCTACTTCCTCTTTTTTCAGGTGTCATTTCTTTTTCACCCTTCCTTCTGCTCCAGATATGACCTCTTCTTCCTTCCTCAGGTACTTCATGGTGCAGACTTTGACATCCTGTGGCTCCAGAGGGACTGCGGTGTTTATGTTGTCAACATGTTCGACACGCATCAGGCAGCCATAGTCCTGGAATATCCACACCGTTCCTTGGCTGCATTACTCTCCAAGTTCTGCGACATTCAGGCAAACAAGGTGTACCAACGAGCTGATTGGAGAATAAGGTACAGTGGGGGCTGGTTCATTGTAGATTTAGGTTTGGAGGTGTCCCTGGATAACAAAGCTCTTATTCAATAAAGGAATTGATCTGGGAAGTAGATAAAGGTTTTGATCTTTTTTTTATTTCACTACTTTTTCCTATTAGATATCAATATGTTTTTGTTTTGTTTTTTCATAGTATTTTTTAAAGTATTGACTTCCTTTTATGAAAAGTTTTAGTTCTCTGACATGTTTATGATTTTTTTAATGCAGACATTTTGGAATTGTGGTAATAGAAATGGGGTATGCCTCAATGCCATATTTATTTATTAATTTTGTATATATTATTTCTTTTTTTCCAGGCCCCTTCCTGAGGATTTTATGGAATATGCACGGCAAGATTCTCACTACCTTCTCTACGTGTATGATCTCATGCGGAATGAGTTGATCGAGCGAGGAAACCAGCTGAATAACTTGATCACAGCCGTCTACAGCAGATCAGTAGACATATGTTTAAAAGTAAGTCATCTTCAATTTAGGTCTGTTCTTTTCCTCTTTTACTACTTTTATGTGTGTTCTTTTCTTTTCTTTCTTTCTTACCATCCCTGTGTGATTGTGAAATCTATGTGAATAATTGATATTAATCTTTTTATCTACATGCTTATATATTTACTTACATTTATCATTAATGATACAGCGCTATGAGAAGCCATTCATTGGACCAGAAAGTCACATGGAATTATACCGTCGAAGCCGCAGAACCTTTGACACAAAGCAGATGTATGCACTGAGGGAACTGTACCTTTGGAGAGACAATGTTGCTCGAGAACAAGATGAAAGTCCAGAGTAAGTGGCGTGCTTTTGTGTTTTGATTTTATTTGTGTCCTGTAGTCATAAGGGATTTATTAGTTTTGATTTGATTAATTTCTATTTAGGAGTGCCTTTATTTTTCTCCCTCTTTTTTTCTTTTTTTTTTCCTTTTTTTATATAAAACCTTTAGATTGGAAAAAGATGGTTTTGAATTTTGAAGCTCAAAAGAATGAATTAATAAGTGCATGAAGTACTATAGTTCATACAAAAGTTGCTAAAAACTCATTTAAATAGCACACTTGTGAGGAAAGGTACACTCGCAGCAACATTGCAAAAAAAATGACCGTGACTTCCTATAACAAATTTAACATATGGAAATGGGTGCCGGATTGAGTGACCATGTGACAATTTTCAGGTTATTATTTCTTTTCTGTATATGCAGTACTGTCCATATATAAACACAGGAAACCACAGAGGCCAAGAATAATCAGACTTGCTGTTTATAGTGCATGGTAACACTGGATAAAAATACTTTTGAGTTATGAGTCAACTGGTCTTCATGTACTTGCTTATAATTGCTCTAAGCACACAGAAAGGCTGAAGACACTATTTTTTTCTCTCTGATTATTGTGTTCTCTTACAAAAATATGCAACTGTTATAGATGATAAAAAACAGACAGGAGAGGCTAACATTGAGTTGAAACAGGAATTTTTAATTAAAAGTGAATATAAGTAATATCTGTAATTATTACCTTTCTTATGAACCTAAAAAGAAAATATATACTCCAATAGTATCATTTAGAGCTAATATATTTCTAACAGCTCTATATTCCTGGAAATTCACCACATATAATACATATTTGAACCACCCCCATTACTACATTTTTTTCCTCTCCTGCAGTTATGTTTTGCCAAAGCATATGTTGCTGCAGATTGCCGAGGTGCTGCCCAAGGAGATGCAGGGAGTGCTGGCCTGCTGCAACCCCATTCCACCCCTTGTCAAGACGGAGCTGCTCACAATCCATACCATCATCAGAGCGGCCAGGGAACAGAAGCTCCTGCCGGTGAGTTCCTGCTCAGCGATCAAAGGGAGGAGGAAGGATGAAAGAGGATTGGACTTGCCACATTAGTCGTCTTCTTCTTCTTCTTTTTTTCTTCTTCTTCTTCTTTCTTCTTCTATTTCTTCTTCTTCTATTTCTTCTTCTTTTTCTTTCTTCTTTTTCTTTATTATTCGTCTTTATTCTTCTTCTTCTTGCATTAGTCATTGTTGTCTTTTCTTCTTTTTTTGATTGATTGATTGGAGTTTTAGAGGTTTGGATTATAAATTAGAAAGGGGGTATATTTAGTTTATGTATATATATTTTTTTAATGGAAAGGAAAGGGTTAAATGAAATAATGTACATGTTAGATTGGAGGGTGAGTGATGTTCTCGGTTGGGTGATGCAGTAGGGTTGTGTGTTTTGGTGGATCATTAACTTTTGGATGTTTATGCTGAAGTGTAGAAGATAGAGAGAGATGGGTTTAGACCGACACTTCAGTAGAAAAGGTATGAATGAGAATGAATATCTTTACAATAAAGGGGATATTCATTCTCATTCATACCTTTTCCACATTTATCAACAGAAATACGGTTCAGACAGTTCAGTGTAGCTTGATCATTGTCGATATTGTAGATAGGCAGGCAAATACAGACAGATAGGTAGATCAAAGTAACTAGGGGTAAACAGATAGATACCATTTTCTCCACTGATCTCCTCCCCTTTCTCCGCAGGTCCTCGAGCAATCCGTAGAGCAGCAGATTCCACAAGTCCAGTTACAGATGGAGGAGCTGAACACAGGTTTGGTGATCAGCAAGCATGACCTCTCGACAGTGGATGAAAATCCGACTGACCTGCCGACCCTACTGAATCCCAGGGAGACCTTGCTCGGTGATCTTTTTTCACAGCCGAGGGTAGACGTCAGAGTGAAGTTGAAGTCCAGGATGTTCGGCTGCGTGACGGTATGTTTCTTTGGATGCAGGCGAGGGTTTTGTGGTGCGACATTGTTTTTTGTATGTGCAAGATTTATTCCTTTATGGTAATTTTTTAACATTGTTATTATTGTTATTCACTTAATGATTTATTTTTTATTTTTTTTTTTTTGTTATTACCTTTGTGAATCATTTTCCTTCTTTGTTTTTCAGAATTTTATTGCATTAGAGAGTACAGACAAGAATGATGAAATACACTTTCCTTACTCTTTTTTATGGACTTTTTCTCTCTTTCACAAACCAGAGCCATTTAAAACACAAGGACAGCTTGCACAGGGAAATAACAAAGGAGTTCATGAGTCCATATGAGAGATACACAGCCTACCAGGAACTAAAGCCTCACTTAGACGGAGAGCGGAAGAAGCGAGAGGAGCCTGTCGACGAGGCACACATTGCACGGGTAAGTGAGAGCTATGGGGGTTTAGAGGAGATAATTGTTGAGTGAGTGACTCTGTGTGTGTGTGTGTGTGTGCGTGTGTGTGTGTGTGTGTGTGTGTGTGTGTGTGTGTGTGTGATTGTGTGTGTGTGACTGTGTGTGTGTTTGTTTGTTTGTTTACAGTTGTGCTGTCGATACTTTTTTTTCCCCTCTTATTCTATAAATCATGTAGTTGAAAAAAAAGATGCAACTGAAATTTGTAATAGTGCACAACTACATAGGCATGTGTTTGCAGCATTAAGCAGAAACATTATCAGGAATTTATATCCATATACAATTTTTTTCTCTCTCTTTTTTCATTTTTTTCTCTTTTAATTTCTCTCTTTTTTTCCCTCTTAATCCCAGGTCAAAGAGCATTTCCTCTGCCTAAGCAACAACACGCCACAAGAGAAATCAGAGGCGGAGGAGGCAAATGTTGTCATAAAGCAGAAAAGACCCCGACCGTCGAAAGAAAAGAAAAAGTCAGAAATGAATACCCCAATAGTCTTAGGGGACGAGGTACGTTCGGTCCTTACTGTTTGTGAGAATATGATGATATATAGACATAGAGTTGGATATTCCTGGAGATGTCTGTTCTGTCTTATTATTTTTTTCATTCATATATATATTATATTATATATTTTTTTTTTTAATTAGTTTCATCTTATCAATGTTCCTTGTTTTTCTTCTTCTTCTCATTCCCATGCTCTTCATCCTTCTCCTCCTTCTTCACCTCCTCCTCCTTCTTCTTTCCTCTTCCAATTTTCTTTATTTTCTCTTTCTCTTCCCACCTTTTTGTCCTCTTTCCTCTCCCCCTTTTTGTCTCTCCCTTCCCCCTCCCCCTCTTCCCTCTCTTATTCTTTTTCTCTCCCCCTTTCTCTTCTTTCCTTCCTTCCTCCTCTTCCTCTTCCTCCTTCTTCATCTCCATCACCATCTTCATCTTCCTTCGCTTTCTCTTCCTTCCTCCCTCCCCCCCTCCCATCTCCTCTCCTCCTCTTCCACCTCCTCTCTCTAATCCTCCCACCCTCCTCCTCCTCCCCTCCTCCTCCCTCCTTTCCTCCTCCTCCTCCTCCTCCTCCTCCTTTCCCCCCCCCCTTCCTCCTTCCTCTCCTCCTCCTCCTTCCTCCTCCTCCTCCTCCTCCTCTCCTCCTCCCTCCTCCCCTCCTCCTCCTCCTCCCCTCCTCCTCCTCCCCCCCCCTCCTCTCCTCTTCTCTACATTTCTTTATCTTCTCTTCCTCTTCCCCACCTCATCCTCATCCTCCTCTTCTTCTTCTTCCCTGTTTATCTTTATCTTCTCATCCTCCTCCCCACTTCATCCTCTTTCCCCCCTTTCAAACCCTTTCCTTCAAAGTTCTCTTTTAATCCAAACAATTGATAATTACAATTGATAACTAATTTCCATGAATGGCTGTCTATCTATCCCCACTACTCTCTTTTCCACTCCCCCTCTTCCTCTCTCTTATTCTTTTCTCTCGTTATGCTGTAATCATTTCATCTTCTCATTTCTTTCTGCAGATCAAAGAAATGAAAGCGATGAACAGCGGACAGAAACGTGCAGTGGATAACGAAGGGGAAGCAGTGAACGGCGAGAATGACGAGTCGCCAAGCAAGAAGCTGAAGACAAACAAGGCAGATGGAGACACGAAAGAAGGAGGGAAGGAAAAGAACGATTACGGAAAGGTGGAGACGAGGAGGAGAAGGAGGAAGATGATGGAAGGGAAAAGGGGGAAGAGGAGGAGGAGGAGGAGGAAGGAGCATGTATGGAGTCAGGGGAGGAGGAAGAGGAGAAATCAGCAGCAGGGAGCGCACCCTTTGACTATGATAAGGCTGATTACAGCATTTTTGAGGGCAAGCCGGGCAAGAAGTTCAAATCCAAGCAGAAGTACCAGCAGAAGTTTGGTGGGAAGGTAAGTGTTTTTCTCTCTCTCTCTCTCTCTCTCTCTCCTCTCTCTCTCTCTCTCTCTCTCTCTCTCTCTCTCTCTCTCTCTCTCTCTCTCTCTCTCTCTCTCTCTCTCTCTCTCTTTCTCTCTCTTTCTTTCTCTTTCTTTCTTTCTTCTTCTTCTTTCTTTCTTCTTCTCTCTTCTTCTCCTTCCTCCTTCTCTCTCTCTCTCTCTCTTCTCTCTCTCTCTTCTCTCTCTCTCTCTCTCTCTCTCTCTCTCTCTCTCTCTCTCTCTCTCTTCTCTCTGCTTCTCTCTCTCTCTCTCTCTCCTCTCTCTCACTCTCCACTCTCTCTCACATCTATAACTAATATCGTGATATAACTGCTTTCTTAAGGAGAGTCAGTGAAATAGGACAAAAAGAGGAGTAAGATTAAAACTATATAGTCTTATTAATGTAATATAGTTATACTTACTTTTGTTCTTTTAAATTATTTTTACACCAGAACCAATAAAAAAAAAAAAAATTCTTGTGTGCAGGAATCTCTTGACACAACTTGACAGATTATGAGTCTCTTGACACGACTTGACAGGTTATGAGTCTGTGAAGCCAACAAAAGAGGAATTGACACAATGGTAATTTGATGGATTATTAACTGCCTTCCTAATTTTCTCTGATTACAGGGCCAAAGGGGCAGAGGCTTCAAGTCGAACATGAAGAGCTTTTCTTTTGGAAGAGGGAATACAAGCAGGGGTGGCTCGCGTCGATGATTATGAATAATGTAATGCCTATATTGGTATAATCTGTGAGGAATAATGTACTATATATTAGGGTATGTGCGTCTAAAGGTGTTCTCAAACCAGTTGCCCAAAAATGTGTTTATTAAATATATTGTTTGTTTTTTACTTTAATCTCTAATATAAACATCGATATAGTCCTCTTCATGCACTTCAATCATATGGTATGTGCATATGTCAATTATTTTGTTAAAGTTAAAAGTTTAAACTAACATAACATTAAATGAATGATTTTGGGGGCATTTGGTTTAAAGACCACTTTGGATGCAAATGCCTTCATATGTTTTATTTCTTGTCGGAAGAACCTTCTTTGTAAACAGAAAAATATATGTATAAAAATGGACAATGTTTGTAAATGAGTAGGAACCTAAACTTTTTGTATTTCACTAATTTATATGATTTTTTTTGGAGAGTGATGTTTGTAACTCACTACATTTATACAGTATACATTTTTGAAGATGCACTGAGCTTCAGTAAACAGAAAGAGCAAGAGGGTGAGTGACCTTCGCAGGGGAGTGAACGCGAGAATGATGAGAGTAAGGGTGAATATCAGGTTGATTAGAGCATGATGAGATAGGTGGATGAGGCTTTTCTGACTGACAAGTTTGATGAGGAAATAGTTACATCTCAAAGGGATGAAGTAACAGAGGTTATAATCACCCCAATCTTG